GGGATGTAGTTCAACAAATGTTTATTAAATGCCTCTATGTGCAAGGCTCTGGGCTAGGCACTGTGAATCAAAAGGCAAAGACAAGACATTCTCTGTCCTCAAGAATCTTGCAATCTATTGGAACATCTCCTGATAGTAAAGGCTTCTTATATAGGTTACTGAGGTAGGTGATGACTCTCCCTATGTGGTAGTTTGGAGGTTAGTCTGGAATGGTTTGAGGGCAGGTGTTAGAGACAGTGACAGAAGATCTCAACTAGCCCTATGCCTCTATGGTGCCACGAATTCTTTGACGCTGAATATTATTTCCCTCCACCTGTTTCCTGAAGATGGAACTAAACACATCCAAAATGGAATTCATTGCCTTGCCACAAAACTCGCTCTCTCTCCTACCTTCCTTATTAATATAAGGGCAACACTATCCTCCCAGTCCCTCAGGCTTCCAACCTGGGCATCTTTGACATCTCACCATCTGCCCCTCCCCCACCATGCAATCTGTTGCTAAGACTTGCTGATTTCATTTTCATGTCATTTTCAAATACACCTAGTTCTCTTCTCTGACCCTGACTCAGGTACAGACCCTTATCACCTCATTTCTGGACTATTCTAATAACCTGCTTGTGGGTCTGCCTGCCTCAAATCTCTCCCCACTCCAATTCATCCTCCATTCAGCCAGCAAAGTGATTTTCTTAAAGCATAGGTCCAATCATATTACCCCTCTACTCAGTCTATTGCAGGGACTCCTTATTGCCTCCAGGATCAAATACAAAATCCTCTGTTTGGCATTCAAAGCCCTTTATAACCCAGCTGCCTCCTACTTTTCCAGTCTTCTTATACCTTACTCTTCGTTCAGTATTATTCAATCCAGTGACACTAGCCTATTGGTTATTCTGAGAACAAGACACTCCATCTCTCAGCTATTTTCTCTGGTTGTTCTGCAAGTGTGGACTGCTCTCTCAACTCATCTCCACTTACTGTATTCTCTTTGTTGTTGTTATTTAGTCATTTTCAGTCATTTCTGACACTTTGGGACCCCACTTAAGGTTTTCTTGGCAAAGATATTGGAGTGGTTTGCCATTTCCTTCTCCAACTCATTTTACAGATGAGGAAACTGAGGTAAACAGGCTTAAGGGACTTGCCCAGGGTCACACATTTAGCAAGTGTCTGAGGCCAGATTTGAACTCAAGTCCTCTCGATTCCACCTAGATGCCACATTGGATTCCCTAGCTTCCTTTAAGTTCCAATGAAAATCTCATTTCCTACAGGAAGTCTTTATCAATTCCTCTTAACTCTAGTGAATTCTCTCTGTTGAGTATTTCCACTAATCCTTTGTTAGAAAAAAAACAACCTCTTTTATTATTTATTTTTAACATTAATTTTTTTATTTCATTCCAAATTCTCTCTCTCTCTTTGGCCCCCCATTGAGAAGGCAAGCATCAATTATACATGTGAAATCATCTAAATCATATTTCCATATTACCCTTGTTGCAAAAAAAAAAAGGGCAAGAAAAATAAAGAAAGTGAGGAAATTATATTTCATTTTGCACTCAGAGTTCATCATCTCTCTCCGGAAGTGGATAACATTTTTAATCAGGAATCTTTTGGAATTGTCTTTGATAATTATATTGATCAGAGTAGCTAAGTCTTTTGCAGTTGATCATCATTACAATATTGCTGTTACTGTGTACAAAGATCTCACGATAATGTTCATTTCTCTCTGCATCAGTTCATATAGGTCTTCTTATACTTTTCTGAGACCATCTCTCCTGTTGTTTCTTATAAGACGGTAGTATTCCTTTATAATTATACACCACAATTTGTTTACCATTCCCCAATTGATGGGCATGCTCTCAATTTTCAAGTCTTTGCCACCACAAAAAGAGGTGCTATAAATATTTTTGTACAAATAGGTCCTTCCCCTTTTTCTTTGATCTGGGATACAGACCTAGTAATGAAATTACTGAGTCAAACAGCTCTAAGGCCCTTTGGGCATAGTTTCAAATTGTTCTCCGGAATGGTTGGATTAGTTCACAACTCCATCAACAATTCAATAGTGTACCTATTTTCCCACATCCCTTTCAGCATTTTTTGTTTCTGAAAGATATGAGGTGGTACCTCAGAGTTATTTTAATTTGCACTTCTCTAATCAGTAGTTATTTAGAGCATTTTTCTCCATGTCATTATAGGTAGCTTTGATTTCTTTTTTTGAAAACTGCCTGTTCATATCCTTTTACCATTTATCAATTGGAGAATGACTCTTATTTTTTATAAATTTTATTCAGTTACCTGCATATTTGAGAAATGAAGCCTTTATCAGAGAAACTTGCTGCCAATTTTTTTTTTGTTTTCTTCAGTAAACTTTTGTACCTCCTTTTCCATTTGACCTGTTCTGCTTTTTAAGGAGTTCTTTTCTTCATTGAATTTTTGTTGTGCCTCCTTTACCATTAGGCCAACTTTGTTTTTTACGGTGTTGTTTTCTTCAGTGTTTTTATTTTTGGTGCCTCTTTTAGCAAGCCTTTTCACAATTTTCTTACGTCTCATTTCTTTTCCCATTTTTCCTCTATCACTCTTATCTTTTCCTTTAATTCTTCTAGGAATTCTTGTTGGGCTTGTGTCTAATGAGCATTTTTCCTTTGAGGCTTTGCTTGCAGCTGTTTTCAGTCTGAATTTGTGTCTTAGTCTTCCCTGACACCATAGTAACTTTTTATGGTCAAATTCTTGTTGTTGTTTGCTCATTTTTCCAGCCTATTTCTTGACTTTGACCTTTATGTTAAAGTTGAGCTCTGCTTACCTGGGGGTGGGGAGGCCATGTCTCCAGGTTCAGACTTTTTTGCACTTCTGTTTTCAGAACTACTTCCAGGGATCTGAAAGTTTTTGGTACTTCCAAGGTTTTGTGATCAGAGAGAGATGTGGTCACTGCCCTTCTAGTCTACACTCTGGTCCTTCCCTAAAGAGGGCCTTTGCTCCCCTGTAGTCACAAGTGTGAATGCTCCTCTCTGCCTTGCAACTGCAGCTCCTAAATGTGTGCGTAAAATGTAACAGTCTCCTATGCCCAGTGCCAGATCAGGGTCTCCTGTAATCTTTTTCTGACCGATTGTCTAACCCCCTTACCATCTCTGGGCTGAGAGCTCCCAGTGCTACTGCTGTTGCTGCTCTCCAGACCAGTGTCCACTTCAGTAACATAAACCATTCCTACAGACCTCCTACATTGTCTTGGGCTGAAAAAAGTATCTCACCCTAACCTTCCCCCCCCCCCATTCTGCTGCTGCAGAATTTGATTTGAGACATGATTTTAAGGTTGTTTAGAGGGGAATACTGGGAGAGTTCAGCTGGATTGCTGCCTCTACCACCATCCCAGCCCCCTCCCCATCTTTGACTCTGCTTCCTCCCTATTTATCCTTTATACAGCTTCTTTTCACAGATTTGTTTGCTTGTTATCTCCTTCATTTGACTGTATTCTTCTTGAGGGCAGAGACTCCCTTTTGCCTCTTTTTGTATCTCTAGATCTTAGCACAGTGCCTGGCACATAGGAGACGATTAATTAATGTTTATTGACTACTGACTGTGGTACTCTTAGGGGTAGGAGTGATGCTGTGTCTCTAGTTTTGCTGAGTCTGTTGCTAGTCCTTGGAGGAAATCTGTGAGTCTGTTTCCATAAGGCTCTGGGTCTCATTTCTTCCTTTTTTAAAAAATGAACACTTTTTTTCCTAACAGATTTTCACTTCACCTTTAATACAAGTTTGTTGACTGTTTCATACAGTGTCAGTTGGGTTTGCCTAGTCACACACATTTGTGCTGCCAGAAACTCTGCCTGCTGTTGCTTTTTAACATTTTGCAGTCTCTATCTGCCCCAGGGGAGTGCTTCAAAACATGTGCAGGATGAGAAAAAACACAGATGAGCCTCCAAGATTTTACAGCTTACGGTGGTTCTGGAACACAGGGAATAGTCCTGCAATTAAGCATGTCTCCTGGGGCATGTGACTCTGTGTGTGTGTGTGTGTGTGTGTGCATGCGCTCGTGCGCGTGTATGCGTGTGCTCGTGGGTAAGGATAGGTACAGATGAAAGGATGGATGGATGGACACCACATCACTATTGCAAAATTTCTGCTCAACACCTTATGTGAAAGGCAGCTGTTGCACAGATCAGGAAACGTCCCCCCAAGGAGGGTAGGTAGCATTGTTTTAGGTTGATCTGTCATTCTTCTCAGTGTCTTGAAAGGGCTATTGCTGGTCCATCAGTTTATAGAAAGAATATTGGCAGGGACCTAAAAGGAGGAATAAGAGGTAAAATGGGAAAAGGAGAGCCAGACAGAGGAAAGCAAAGTGAGCTAAGTAGATGAGGGATGGAGAAACCATTTATACAATGAAGTCATAGATGAAAATTGGAAGACAGAGGTCAAAGGAGGAATGTGTTTCAGTGGAAACTGTGTTGAAAATGAGGACCAGGGTTCAAATTTTGGCTCTGTCAATGACTGCCTATATGATCTTGGGTGAGTCATTTATCTGCTTTGAGCTTCAAGGCCTTCATCTGTAAACTGAAGGGGTTGGACTAGATGACCTCTAAGATCCTTTAATTTTACTGAAAGAAAATGGGACAATGGCAGAACATGAAAAGGAAGATTTGGTAATAAAAGATAATTAGCAGAGACAGGAGAGATAATTAGCCTATGGTGGTGGTAGAGAATGTGAGAAAGCAATAGATAGTAATCTTTTGTACTGGAAGATGACATTAATGGTTTTCAGGGTCCAGTACTATAATCCACATCCAAGGAGCTCCCCCAAGGTGAACAGGAGGCAATCAAATGGATAAAAAACCAGTAGGAAAGCTTCTGTGTAGGTGGGAGGATAAGGAGGTAAAGAAGAAAGTCAATCAAAATTTGTGTTACTGGTACAGAAGGAACAGGTGGGATGTCATGGGGCTAGAGAAGTGATTTTGGCCAGAGTTGGCTAAAGAAGGGTTTTAACATTAAAAGGATTAATTATAGAATGATTGACTTTCACAGCTGAAACTTCGGCACGATGAAAAGTTCCTTGGATATAAAGTCAGAAGATCAAATTCTGGATCTACTATGTTACCTTGGGTAAGTTGCTTTTTTTCTCTGAGCTTAATTGGGAGAAATATGAAACTGAAATGAGGGGGTTGGACAGGATGGTTTCTAAGGAACCTTCTGGTTCTAAGTCTATGAATCCTAGTCCAAATCCTTCATTTTTCAAATGAGAAAAAATGAGGCCCAGAAAGGTTAAATTGCTTGCCCAAAGAAACACATCTAGTTAGTGCTGTAGCACTAGTTATTAGATTTATATTGAGATTTGGGAGAGGGGAGATTTTTATCAAACATGACAGAGCAGACTAGAAAGGGGGCTCAAGTTAATTTTCCTGAACAATAAACTCACATGCTGTGAATCACCTATCCAGGCCAAACTGGAAGGCTGATGAAGAAGACACAAGAGATACATGTTGCTAAGGGGGAGGAAGCTCAAACCTTTCACTGGTTAAGCAGAGGATAAAGTGAGGATTTTCAGAAGGAGGTGATAATGTTTCTGAGCCTTTCAGAAGCCAAGCCAGTGAAAATGGAATGATTACAGTTGATTTAAGGGGTAAAGGTTAAAAGGCAAAGGGCACCGAGGGATGTTGAAAAAGCTCCTGTGAGTAGCTCTTTTGTTCGAGGACAAGATGATGTTGCTGATGGGTTCAAGAGAAGTGGGAGGGTGAGGGAAATGTGGGCGGGATGATGGATTACAGATGGACCTATGAAGAATGGGGCAGAGCAGCATGAAACCATTTGTTTGGGCTTTATAGATTTTCTCATAAAAACGTCAAAGTTTTTTCACACTGTTTTGAAAATGTCATCAAATGCAAAGCCTTTCTCCTTGTACCAGTGACAAAAGGCAGCATTTCCAATGGTAAATTCCAGCCTAAGATGCAATAACAAACCTTGACAAGTTTGTCTCCAAGCCATGCTAGGGGTCAGGTTTGGTCCACGACCTTGAAGGACCACCTTGGACCTTCCCACAGTGATCTGAACGCCTGGGGGAGCCCAGAATTCTCGTGGTCTTCTTAAAGCCTTTGGGGAGGGGGGTAATCTTGGACTAATTTTAACCCTTCTCCCCTACTACAACTAGTGATACTGTCTATGGGAATGGTGAAGAATGTGAATCTCAGCCAGCTTGCACTAAGCATCCCAGACTTAGGAACTAATGGAGCCAAACAGGGGTGAGGTTGTTATGCTTAACTTCGAATTGGTCACCAGAATTAAAGAAATGGTAGGAGAGTTGCAAATGTGAGTGGGGCAGGGGCAGGTATGTGGACAGGGCCTTCTTTTCATCACACAAATCGTGCATATGCAGAAAGAAAATGAGGGAGGTGATTATGGTTGATACCTTTGTTCCATCTACCCTGTCATCTATACTTCATCACTTATGGCTTGTCCAGATTATGGGTTCACATAATCTTGGAGTTGGAAGAGATCTTGGAGGCCTCCTGCTCCAAACCAAACCTTTTCCTCATTCACTCTACATTCCAACCAAAGGACTATTTGCTGTACCTTAAACAGGACATTCACATATTTATTTATTTATTCATCTATCCATTCACTCATTTATTTAGTCTATTTATTTATATGAATGAATGAAAAAACATTTATTAAAGAGTTACTATGTGCAAAACATTATGCTAAAATCTGGAATTGAAGTGGAAAAGTGAGATAGATAATCCCTGTTCTGAGGGATTAGAGTCAACTAAGTAGGCACAGTAAATAGAGTGATGCAACTGGAGTCAGGAGAACCCTGAGTTCAAATTTGGCCCCCTAGCCGTGTGACCTTGAGTTGAAGTTCAGGAGACCCAAATTCTAATTTTGACTTTGCCACTAGCTAGCTATGTGACCTTTGGCAAATTATGCCACATCTCAGGCTCAGGTATCAGTTCTTTCACTGAAGAAGGTGGTTCCTTTCTTCCCTAATTGTTGTTGAAGTTGGAATGTCAACAAGAAAAGTTATGTAGAACATAAGCTCCTTGAGGGCAGGGAGTGTTTTACTTCTGTATTTCAATCCCTAGCATTTAGTACAGCCAGCAGATAGAAGGCACTTAAATTCTTGCTTGCTGGTTGATTGATTTAAAGTTGGTCTTGGGATTGGTTTTTTTTTTTTTAAGTCTTTAAAAATAGAACAGATTCTCACTTACTTTGTGGAAGGAACTAGGTGGTCTGGGCTGGGGGCTGGGGTTTTGGCTGTGTGTGTATATGAGTTGTTTGAAAGGAAGAAATAGAAAGGGAAGGGAATAAGCATTTATATAGCACTTACCATGTAGCAGGTACTGTACTAAGCTTTATAAATATCTCATTTGAGCCTCACAAAAATCCTTTATTGTCCCCATTTTACAGTTGAGGAAACTGAGGCAAACAGCTTAAGTGACTTGCCCAGGGTCATATAGCTAGTAAGTTTTTGATTTGAACTCAAATTTTCCTGACTCCAGGCCCAACTTTATTGTAGTGGGCTGTCTTGTCTGGAGGACAAGTGCACATACTATATAAATCAAGTCCTTTTTGGTCCAATGATTCTTCCTTTCATTCAAAGAAGAAGCATGAATGATGTCTGGAGACATTAGAAAGAATGCAATATGCTAGTGATGTTTTGGGAAGAATTTAGTAGCATTTAGAAGCAACACTTCCTATTAAAATTTTGCATGCATGCATGAATGAAAAAGGTATTTAGCAAGTATTTATCCTATGCCAGGAATGACTGAGAAATATTGTTAGCAACTCTCCACCTAAACATCTACCCTTCTAGGGCACAGGTTATTAGCCTTGAGTCTGTGAGTTTTTTTTTTAATATTTTTATAGCTACTTTTCAATATAATCAGTTTTCTTTTTAATCCTATGTCTTGTATTCTGTGTTCCAATAATTAGCTTGTTTTAAACGAGCCTAGGGGGGATTAAAATGTCTCCTATGATCCACCTGGTTTCTTTCTCTTCAGCTTTTGGAAATTTATTTTAGATGAAATGTTCTGAGGTCAATCACATTCTCTGAGCCCCCAGTAAGGAAAAATGTCTAATGCCTACCTAGAAGTTGTGTTAGCTGCTTAACTTTACATATGCATACAAACATACATATATGTATATATACATATATGAGTATATATGTATGTACATGTGTGTGTAGATGGATAGATGGATAATAGCTAGATAAACTCCTGGCTTATTTATACCTGAGGCAAAATTCAATTACTGGAGACAGTTGGGCAAAGAATTAGCAGATTATATTTTAGTGTCTGTGAATAGATGGGCATCAGCAGGGGAAGGTGGGGTAAGAGCTGACCTTTTCCTGGGAATTCCATCAGCCTGGGTCCTCCTCTCCATGATACACACAAAACCAGTGACTCTCCTCTATTTCCTTTTCTCTGCCAATAGTTTAGCCTTCTCTCTATGCTACAGATAGATGCTTAGAATTTCTTCCCTGATTCTGAGATAACTTCTCCCTTCTATCTAAAGTGCCTAATGTTTGACCTACTCTCCCACACAATGTCTTTAATTGATTACAGGCCTTGCATTTAATTTTGATAATTTGATTTAAATCAGGTGTTCACACCTAGTCGCAGCACTGGCACCAAATGCAGTGGTTTTAATACCATCCTTAATATGATTTTAAGAACATGATTCTGAGAAGGGATCCATAGGGACCATAACATTGGGAAAAAAAAAGCTTAAGAACCCTTCTGCTCTAGGATGTAGTCATATGAGGAAAAACAGGTAAATGACAGTCTGCTAACCAGACATTTTAAATTTCTAATACTTTTTTTTTTTTGGTGAGGCAATTGGGGTTAAGTGACTTGCCCAGAGTCACACAGCTAGTGAATGTTCTGTGTCTGAGGCCGGATTTGAACTCAGGTCCTGTGCTCTATCCACTGCGCCACCTAGCTGTCCCAATTTCTAACACTTTTAACATGTGACATTGAACTAATTAATTTCTTTGGCCCTAAATTTTTCATTTATAAAAAGGGGTTATGCATGTTATTCATTTCACTGTTAGGCAACTGGAAAAGACAGTATAATCGACCTCTGTGTTGAGCCTTCTAAGCACTTCTATTCCATTTCATAAGAAGACTATGAAGTGTAATGGATATATTTGAGTGGATTGTAAGTGAAGGCACTGCCAGTGTTGTGACATGGAAAGAACACTGGTCTGGGATTTGTGCAATTTGGGCTTCAATCTGTGTTAGTAGTAAATAATTAATATTTTTTTAAGAACTTTTTTTGATGTCATTTTTTTTATATTGCCATAATTTCTCTTAGTATTGCTTCTCTACCCCCTCCCTAGGAATCATCTCATATAACAGTGTTTTGGAAAGCCCCTCTTAAGAAAAAAGAAAAAGAGGAAGAAGAGGAAAAAAATGAGTAAAATCAATCAATACATGGAAAAAGTCCAAAAATACGATGTTCCACACCCTTTGGTTTTTTACCTCTACAAAGGAGTAGAGTGAGGATGTCTTTTCATATCTCTTCTTTAGGGTTATGCTTGTCCTTTTTTATCAATAGTATTTTATTTTTCCAAGTACATGTAAAGACAATTTTTAACATTCATTTTAAAAAAGTTTTGAGTTCCAAATTTTCTCCCTCTGGGAGCTAGGTGGCACAGTGGGAAGAGTACCGGCCCTGGAGTCAGGAGGACCTGAGTTCAAGATATAGGCTATATGTGTGAATCATATAAAATATTTCTGTAATAGTTATGTTGTGAGAGAAGAAACAGATCGAAAGGGAAAAACCTTACAAAAATAAAGAGAGTTAAAAGTAGTATACTTGGATTTACATTCAGAGTCCATCGGTTCTTTCTCTGGACGTGGATAATATTTTCCATCATGAGTCTTTTGGAATTGTCTTGGATCATTGTATTGCTGAGAAGAGCTAAGTTAGTTATAGTTGATCATCCCACAATGTTGTTGCTGTGTACAATGTTCTGGTTCTGCTCACTTTACTTTGTATCAGTTCATGTAAGTCTTTCCAGGTTATTCTGTTATCCACCTGCTCATTATTTCTCGTAGCACAGTAGTATTCCATTACATTCATATACCACAACTTGTTCCACCATT